TCCTTTTCGCTTTCGAGTCGCGCCTTCGTTTCGTTCGCGCCTCGTTTCATTCGCGGGCCGAAGGTACGACGGAGAGAGTACGAGATGCAGCTTCGCTTCTCTGAAACAATGGAACGAAGCGGAAGGGACGAAGGAGACGAGTGGAGGGCTCCTGAAAATGTGGAGCAGCGCGACAGCGCACTGCCACGTTCATTGACCCCTGGCGATAATCCTGCGGGGAGCGCGCGCGCGCGAGGGCTCGCGGGGGCTCGTGATTTCCTAGTTTAGAGAGGAAATCCGAGCGAGACCTCGGATTCGCGTCGCTCGCGAGGTGAGGTTCGAAAGAGCGATCGGCAGGAATCGATAATCGGCCGAGCGACGACCTTTGTTACAAAGCCTCGGAAAATGGCGGCGACGGCAGCGGCGACGGCGGCGGCCGCAGCGGCGGCGGCGGCCGCAGCGGCGGCAAAGACGCGGTGGTGAAGGAGGCGGTGTGGCGGTGGAAAGTAGCCAAGTAATCAAGTCGCAGCGGCAGTTGGCGGCGGTCTTTCGAACGGTTCGTAGACCTGCGTGGGCACCCGCGTGTGTGAAAATCGGCGTGCTCCGGAACTCACGTCGATCGGTCGGAGCAAGCCCTGCGCTCAGGAATGAGGTAAACGTCGGGACGGACTTCATTCCAAGGTGTTTTCAACACGTAGAAACTGACCACCAACCCACGTGAGTGAATACGCAGGTGAGCGTTTCCCGTGTCCTCGATCGATTCTTCGATTCCCACATGTCTGCCTCGTGGCAACGCCACGAGACCTCCACTCCGCGACTCTCGCCTTTCCCGCGCCGGGATATTTTCGGATCATCATTCATGCGCACGAGACTTCGTCTGCGAGTACAAGTTTGCGAAGTAGTAGCGTGTAAAAGTCGAAAAAGCGAGTCACGTTGCTAATAAAAAAAAAAAAAAAGGTAATGCACGAAGCAAAGCGTAAACACGGACTTTACATGATCCATAATACTGATCGATAATTTTGCAATATTTGATATCGTACGGTATTATTGACTATGTAAAAATTCACAATGCTAATGTACATTATTTTATATTTTATACTTACTATTTTTTTTTCTAACTTCCGTATTATTTTTAATTTTTGGTTTCCATATAGAAATTATATTTCTATATTATATATATATATATAATCTATTATTTATTTTTTCTTTATTATTATATATATATATATATATATAATATACTTATTATTTTTCTTTTATTATATATATATATATATATATATATAAAACTAAATGTTTAATTACGAAAATTAATTATTAAAGAATTCACTTTAAATATTTCTTACATAAAAGAGTCTTATTTCTCTACAAGCCTTTCGCAACATCGCGTTACTCTATTACGAAGAACACTCGTATCGTCATTATTATTATCGCAATACTATATTTATTTGTAACATTATCGCCATTATGTAATCTTATGTCACAATTAAGTGAGAGATATCGTGATCGATCCGTCTATAACTCGAGCACCTAACGATACGCGATTCGCCAAAATGAGTCACGTACGCGAGTATTTCCTTGAACGTCGCAACCGCTCGCAAAGGTAACCACATGGAGTAGTCGCGATGACTTGTGTATATCCATGGCGATATATACTGGTCAATCGACATGCCAGTTCTTAGGATGACGTAACAACTTACCGATATTTCGGACGGTCGCCGGTCCTCTTCCGCGGCGTCGCCGCGGAAAAACGTTATCGTCGCGTAAATTTATCGAAACAATAATAAGTGATAAGCTGACACAGGTGTGACACACTGTGGAGAAGGTGCCGGAAGGTGCGGGCGGGAAAAAAAGGTAGGCCTGCCTTTCGAAGCAGGTAGCGCCTTTCGGAGCAGATGGTAAACCAGTTTAGCGGTTCTCAAGAAGATCTGAAACCTCGTGGGGTCTACGCGCGAAGAGGAATCTTCTCTCTATCTACATTCTTCTGTTGTAATCTTTCCGGAAACGTAAACCATTACCCATTTTGTTTCGATTCCTTGAATATTCCGATATACTTGCATATGTCAATAATGACGATTAACGCATTCCTCAACGTATGAAATATCACGTATCGACGTCGCGAACCAGGCGCGATGTTTCGAAGACACACATTTCGATAAACTTGCTGACTTGCATCATCTGAAACTGCAGTTTTAGAAGCGACATCACGTTCCTATAGGAAAACGAAAGTGCGCAGGGCGTGCCGGCTTGTCGTTATTTAGAAGCGTGGATTCCACGCCGCGCTAAGAAGCCGCGTGTACTTTCGCGCGGACGGTCTTTTGTCCTACAGACGTCATCAGGGCGGCATCCATCCATCCGGATATCGGATATATTTAGCGGTCCCCCTTAACAGGTATCTTTAGCATACTCCTAAGTGTCTCAAGTGTCTCACGCCTAAATCTTACACGAGATCCTCCTCGCGATTTCCTTAAACGCGATTTCGCAAGCTTTTGAAAGTTGTAATGTAACTCGCTTATCGAGTTAAACTTAAGTTTAAACGTCACATCTATTATGAGAGACTCTGGTATTAGTACACTACTTGGAAATACTTTCGTATACGGGCAGTCGATGTACATACACAGTTTGCACAGTTTACACAAGACTTCGAGACGTATACGTTGTACGTCGTATTCTTGAGAGAGAGAGCTTCGACTCGCTGTATTTCCCCCCCCTCCCCCGCTCGATTCGACAGTTTGCGAACTCTTTATCGTCATTTGACCCGCCGTAAAATCGAGAGCTTTCAACGCGATGGAGAACGCGACGCGCTCTCGGACGAAGCGGTGACTCTCGATAAGGCGGACAGATAGCTACCATGTCAAGTTGCGTT